ACATTGTGTCTTCATTGGGGCTGGGTAAGCCGAGCCAAACGGAGCCACGGTGAGTCCAGCTCTGCCTTTCAGCAGCTTGGCCTGTCAGGCTGATGTATGGGCAGAACGCTGGCGAACGACTCCCCGAGGATCAGATCTGTCTGCTAACTGGGACACGAGTGACAGTGAACCACAGCAAACCCACATCACCCCTGACTCCATCCTCCTCTCCGCTACGCTGCCTCCATGATGCTCTGTGCAGTTTATCACACACACACTCTGAAAATCAGTCAGGACTGGAGATTTGGAGAGAATCATAACTACACAGCTGATACATCAACCCTGCTGTCTGATGTTAGAAACGCTCCTCGATGCTTGGAAAGAGAAAACTGCAGACATAAGATTTCCTGTTAGAAATCTATTAGTTTATTTCCTTTATATGCAACTTAGTTTAGATTCCAAATCTTTAGTCTTCTCCTTGCATAAGACATCTTTTGGGCCCAGCTAGGACTGGAGCAGCGCCACAGTGATGCATTCAGAGAGGTCCACTCATTATCAGAGTCCCACATAGCAGCTGCTCTGTGACGAAGATTCAGCCACCTCGTCTCTTGGCCCTGAGCATCCCTGACCCACGCAAAGAGCTGCAACCCCCCCACTACACACACAAACACACACCCACATTTCCATATTCTATAAACCTCATTAAAGCCTGCTCCCCAAACCTTCTGACGCCACCCCGCCTCCCTCAGACTCATAAAATATATCGAGAGCTCATTCATCAGGATGCAGATGACCTTGGATAACCCTGAGTGAGTGCGAGGGGGTTTAGGTGACAGGATGGATGCCCGTAGGCATCAAAACCTCTTTCACATTTTAATGCATGAAACTTGAAACTTTATTGGATTTTAATTGGAGGTTATGTGACAGACCGACACACACTAGTGCCTAATTGTGAAGCGACAAGAAAAGGAAAATTCTGGAAAGTCCAAACTCCTTTTTCATGCACAGGACCATCATAAAATATGTCATGATCACTCGGATCGGATGGTGATTGCTTGCTCACGTAAATGCTCAACTCTTGGCACAGATTTCCAGTTAGATATAGGTCTGGACTTTGACTAGGCCACTTTAACATAAGGACTTTTATTTAAACCCTACATGTTTTGTTCTCGTTTTCTATTCATTAAGATCCCATTATAGAGTCCATCTTAGACCCCACTTTATTCTCTTTCCCTTTGCATTTATCTCCATCCATCTTTCCCCTCCATCAACTCAAATCTCCCCATTCATAAAGCAAAGCATCCCTACAGCATCATGAAGCCACCACCATGTTTGATTGTGTAGATAATGTGATCAGGATGACTTTCTACTACAAGGTAGTTGGTCTCATCTGTTCCCTACATGGCTATAAACTCATTAATTAACCCAATCAAGTAAAACTATAGGATAACAACATAAAAATGTGAATATGACGCGTTGAAACAGGGGTGCGCATGTAAAGGGAAAAAAGAAAGAGTTTGGGGGTGGAGATCAGAATGAATGCTAATCAATGCAGATAATGCAGAAGGACTGGGGATGTTGAAATATCCAGAAAAAACAAAACAGATCCAGATCAAATAATGATGAAGTAGATCACACTTACTCTGCAGGATTTAGTGGACAGTTTCCCCGTCAGATCATATTTCCCCTTCAACTCTTTCAGCAGCTGCTCCAGGTGACTTTTCTCCTCCTTGTCGCTGTAGTCCGGGTCTAAGAGCACATAAGCTCTCCAGTTGGCCGAGTCGAAGCCCCAGTGCACCGTCCGGTTCTCCAGTCTCTTGTGACTGTGGACCACAAACTTGTGCGGTGGGAACATGAGTCTGCAGTCCAAGCACTGAATGCAGGCGGCGGCCGGCCCCGCGTAAAGCTCCGGGACGAACAGGCCTTTGCAGCGACCGAAACACTCATGGTAGACCTTGAAGCTCCTCTCGGTTCGCTCCAGCTCCAGGGAGCCCAGCTCCTTGTTGCAGTGAGGCGGGTACGTCCCGCCGTAGATGAGCGCGTTGCACAGGCGCTCTGCGTCCGTCTGGGTGATGAGTCCGCAGGACGGAGCGGAGAAGGGCAGGATGCCCACCACTTTGAGGATCTCCAGCTGGTCCGCCGTGCAGCGGGAACAGTAGATGTGCAGGTCGTCGCACACCGAGTTGATCTGTTGCAGGGAGAAGTCTCTCAGGACGCTGTTGAGGATCTGCGGGAGGCACAGCCGCTTCTCCCCGCCGACCACGAAGCAGGAGATGGGCTCCCGCTCCAGGACCGTCTCGCATCTCTCCGTGGATCGGTCCGACGGGATGAAGAGCGGTCCGGACATGAGCGGAGGCGTCTGGGCCGGTAGGGAGAGCATCATCTCCGCTGCTTTGCCGTCTTTGGTGAAGAGCGAGTCCTGGTGCCACCGGGCGGAGAACGCCGCCGGGCCGCCGAGAGAGCGCATGGAGCTGATGTGGAACTGCTTCAGAGTTTGCTGGAGTCCGGGATGGGGCTGGAAGCCGGAACCCTCCATGTTGGCTGCGGCTGGAAACTCAAACTGAAAGCTGGGGCTAAACTCTCTGGGTCTTTCCTTCTCAGCATCCGGCAACAAGCTGGCTAAAGCGCATTTCCATGTCGGAGGGCAAGCTTCCGAAGCGCGTCCATTCAGGAAACAGAAAGCTGACGGTAGTTCCAGAAAAAACAAAAACCAAACTCACAAATGAAGTGGTGAAGGAGAAGTGGTTCAATCAGCGGGTTTAGTCTGTTTCAGAGACCCTGCGGTTTTACGCGCTCCGAAATAAGCTGGTCTGCTCAGTCTGGCGAACTCTCAGTCTGTCTCCCAGCTCAGCCAGCCAGTGTGCGAGTCTCTCTCTCTCTCTCTCTCTCTGTTTGTTTGTGTCTGGTTCAGTCATTGAATCCCAGCCAGGAATGTGACTGACTCCCCGGGCTGGCTCTTCCCTCAGCCAGCTGTTCCTCCCCCTGCTCCATGGCAGCTGCACGCAGAAAAAAAAAAAAGAAGCAAACTAAACCAGGGCGAGGGTGGAGCTCCTGGAAATGAAGCGGAGTCTGCATGTGTAACACAAACTAAACACTTTATTATTAATAATTATAACCCCTAGTCATCTGTTGCATAACCTTCCACGCTTTCTGTCTGTTTATAAGTGAAATAAATAAAAATATTTGGTTTACCATTATTTGATTATGCGCGTTTACACAAATGTAAATATTAACATCCCTTAGCAAAAAGAAGTTTATAAGTATAATTAAAGGTGCACTAATTTCATTCTTAAAATCAGGCACTGTACTTAGAGTTTACTTATTCTAAACTATATTTCATATACTTAACAATAGTATAGTCAAGTGTACTATACTATTGTTTACTTCATTGTTTACTAAAGTATACTTAAAGTATACCTTAGTAAACTTAAAAATGTCCCAATGTAGTTCGAAGAAGTATTACTTTAGTAATACTTCAAGTACACTAAAAGTACATTGTTATACTTTCTAAACTTATACTTAAGTATTCTTAAAAGAATTTACTTCAAGTATATTACTTTTTGCTAAGGGATTTTTTAACACTAAAGTTCCATAGATGAGTGCGTCCCCCCCCCCCATGATTTGTTTAACTGTTTTTATGTTTTTTATAACTTGGATTTAAACTAAAACCTACTCATAAAAAGACTTCCTATGTAAATGAGATTTGGCAACAGGGTAATTTTCCCTGAAAATAAATTGCAGACATTACATTCCGTTTTCTGTTTTTATATGTTTTGTATAACTTTTTCTGTAGAAGTAACAAAGCAAAAAAAAAAAAAAAAGTAGTTCAAACAGAACTTCCGGTCTGATCTAGAGGTCAAAGTTTTTGGATGATTTGCAACCTTTATCTTTCCTCTTGCCAGTGTGCGTCATGGTTACAGGGATTGGTTCCCGTCTTCCAAGATCTTTGGATGAATGGCCTGGTGCACGGTGCTAGTCCATTGCAGGAAAATACAGAGGGATGCAAGCAATTTAGATATGCTACAGTCATGATGGTGGACTCTGGGGGGGAAGAACTGACAACCGAACTCCTTGTAGAAAGATCTTAAGTTTGGAAGCGAACTATCATCTTTCCTTAATTAAAGGTGCTTCAAACTTTACGTCTGTGCAACCTGATTCACCAATATAACAACAAATAATTCATTATGTTTACTGTTAAATACCACAATAACATTTATGAAGACCGGACAAGCAAGTCTTTCAATTAGAGAAATAAGAATGGAATAAACTACTGAAGATATCTATATTATATATATATATATATATATATATATATATATATATATATATATATATATATATATATATATATATATAAAATATATATATATAATCTTCATGTTGTTTATTATATAATTATACATGCTGTGCATATATATATATATATATATATATATAGCAAATAGTATTAATATTCCATCCTTGAAATTCATAGTCTGATTAATCTTTTAGAAAAATATTAAGCCTTTATTTAAAACTGCAGTTCTTTATTAGAAATTTTATTTTATAAATCTGATACATTATTCTACATTCCTAAGAATTTTAATGCTAAATTTTTATTTACTGTAAACCAAATATTGTAAATACCAGAAACAAAGCTTAAAACTAATATGTCAACTTAAAAGAAATTTTCAATAACATCTAGATTCATTAGGATGACTATGGGATATCCATATATACACACAATTCAATTAATTAACCTTTTTTTTTTTATACAAATGTAAAGAAGTGTCACGAACACTTATTCAGGCTTTGCAAAACTCACATTTTACACATTTATTAAGTCCAGATGGCTACCTTCAAAATGCACTTAATATTTAGATTAGTAAACACTTTTGAGTAATTTCATCTCAATGTGAGAAAGTCTAAAGCAGATGAATTATGTCAAAAGCGTTGAATAAGGCACTCCTTAATCTATCAACTGAAACTGGAAAGTATAAAACAAAATTACAAATTTAGCAAGAAATGATTACCTAAGCCAGCAGATTAAAGAAATAATTTATCAATCAGAGAAGCAGCCAAAAGACACCATGGTGTGGCAAGACAAAAACAGTAAAGTTAGGAGTTGCTTAAAAGCAGTTTAGGAGAGATGGCAAACATGTCGAAGAAGAAACTCTGGTTAGATGAGACCAAAAATAAACTTTCTGGTAAGTGTAAGGGGGAAAAAAAGAGCACATATTCCAACAATGTTAGGTGTTAGTGCCAGTAAAAAAAAAAAAAAAAAAAAAAAAAAAAAAAAAAAAAGTTTACAAAAGAATTGAGACAGTGATATTTCACAAAAAAACTAAACCAGCTGCAGGAAACATTCCTCAATGTTGGAGCAACACAAGATAACTAAATAAAAAAATCTAACAAAACCTTCAACCTTTTAATGTAGGTCACTGTTAAAAAAAGATTATAAAAGAAAAATTTGACATTTCACAATGCGCTTTCACATTAGAATGTAGCCACATCACAGTGAGAATAACATTCTTACCACTAGAGGGCGGCAAAGTTACCAAAATAATCTAAAGTGAAGTAAACTAAAACATTTTATATGGAAGGAGAAAAAAAAATTATAATGAAAAAACTAAAGTTTTGAGAGTTAATTTTACTACGCAAAAGTGAAACAGAATTTGTATTTTATAGATATATATACACAGTTTACAGGTACACCATGCAAATTATGAAAAAAGTAGACTTAAAAGTACAATAGTTAAGCATTAAAAAGGTATTACTACCATCTGCAACATACATTTACAGAAAACCTAACAGAAACAAATCTTTTTATTTGCCACCATTTCTTAAAAATATTTAAAACAGTTATACATACTTTAAGGTTTAAAACATTTATATATATATATATTAAAAAAATGTCTCAACCTGTATTACTTACACAAGTTTAAAATTAAAGCTTTTCCCTCTTCTAATGTCTATATGAATGACAACATTTTTACTAAGTTCTTTTAGATAAAAAGATTAAGAGTTATCACCGTACTAACTAAATCTCCATACTCACATTTTTGTCACAGTTGTTTTATATCTCAAACCAAACATCTACCTGATAACTGATTTTAAATTTCTGACTGGATCAAAACATACAGTTTCATTTGACATAACAGAGCAACAACATATTGTGTTTAGAGGCATTTTATTCAAATAATAAATAAAACTGAAATGCGGTCCTCTACTTGACACAAGTTACATTTAAAAAATGGTTACCTTTGGTCAGAGGTGTTAAATATTAGCCAATCGGGAGCTTTGTGGATAAAGAGGTCTGTCAGAAACTTTTTCATTTCCGGAGTGCCTCTGCCTCCATCATCCTGCTCAACTGGCACATCTACCTACTTCATGGAGCTCTTACAGGCTCTCAGAAATATTACCAGCAGTCCTCTAAATCCATTAGAAAATTTCATAGATTTTAATCAGCCATTGACCAAACGGGAAAGAAGAATGAGCCATTACTGTAATTCAGGCAGCTTGTTCTCGTACCCTGGGGGTGGAGTGATGGGTTCAATGGTCACTGGGTTCTGTGTGGGGGTGCGGATCTGGAGGCGAAAGTCTTTCAGGTGCAGTTTGTCTGACTTTATCCGTCTTACTCTGAGGGGCTTCAGCAGTCGGCTGGCCCGGCTGGCGCTGCGTGTCGGCAGGCTGGGTTGTGATGTGAGGCTGGAGGGCTCTGCAGGGGGCTGAGCACCAGCTGGGGCTTGGTCATTCAGAGGGCTGTTCTCCGTGGAGTTGTTAGCAGGCTGTGATCCCTCATTTTCTACAGCTGCAAGGATGTCCTCATAGGACGGTAGCTGTGAGGTGCTCTGCCTCAGGTTGCTCTGGCGAACGGGGTAGTTGCCACTGGCAACAACCTCCTCATAACTTGGCACGTTATACGCCTCTGGGTCTACAGTCCTAGAAAAGGATGACATAGGTGAGCCTCAATCAGAGAGGTCTATAAGAATAAACAGATCAATAAACAGCCAACATTACTCATTTACAAACATCACAGTTTAAACGTACTTCATGAAAACATTTGCTAGATCTCACCTCTGGTTTTACTGGACTTTTTAAAAAAATAATGGCAACAAAATTACTGCAGAGATTAATTTAAGAACTGATATCAACCTAACCTTTTACATGATTATCTTGATAACAAACACTACTTTCATCAAAAGCAGCATTCCGTGTGACTTTTTCAGTTTACTGTTTTAATATGATGATGCACACAGAAGTGAGTGCTTGATTGCATAACCATTGATTTTTGAAAGCAAGGGTGACTCAATTCTTTTTTCCTCTGTTTTACTACCAAGAATCCAGAACCTAGCCTCTATGCTTCTTTAATCCGTATAGAAAGTCTTACATTTTCTTTTAGAGATCAGAGGCCTTTTTCCATTATTTTCAGATAGTATGTGAAGATTACCAGAGTAATTTCACCGTGAACCAGTGCTGTACACATGGACAACAACAATGTACAAACTTAAAGCTGCTGCACTGCTTACTACAGAAACAGCGTTTGTTAGACAAGAACATTCTCCCCAAGTGATTAAAATGTAGATATACTTTGAAGTCAAAAGCAGGTAAAAGCAATTCAAGGGTTGTAATTATACTTTTTTTTTTCGAGCATAATTTGAAAAATACAGTAAACGAGACACCAAAGTTCCAATCCCAGATGTTTAATCAAGCAATACCAGTTTGACGCATTATTTAGACCAGTGTCATGCTATAATGACAGCCATAACATGGCAGGGAAACTGACTGAATATTTGTCAGGTGAGTAAAAATTCCTGTAGAAATAGTGATATAAAAAGGAGCATCACTTTACTGAACTGGTATTTCAGCACCTTCTAATTTAGGCCTCAATTTTAAGCGGTTTCTGGGCTTTTTCTGAACACTCAAGAGCTTGAGAGATCTTGATTTGGACAGAAAACAATGATATTAAGGATCCAAACACATATTCGGAAAGGATAAAGAACATTGACATATCATTGTGGGCATGCTCTAAATTGATACCAGTAAACATAGCCCGCTTATCATTCAACTGATTTTAGTTTGTGCACAAAAGTTGGAGATAATCCACAATGTATCGCATATTGAAATACATCTCGCATCCCACAAGTTTGTTAGTGGATGCATTTTAAAGTGCATGCCTTCAAATTTTTGAAGATAAATATCTCAATTAACTGTTACACAACTTGAAGCATTGACAGGTAAAACACTGACATATATATTTTTTTTCTGAAAATGAAAAAAAGCAATTTTTTAAAATACAGCTGGTTTGGCAGGATACAGGTTTAGTTTACTACACTTGTTGCTCCTGGTAATGACAACGTGGGAAACTTTATGTCAAAAGAACAGGTATGTTGATGCTATAGGTCTTTATGAAAAAATGGTTTCCTTTGGTTCATTGTGACAAATGTGTGTCCAGGTGTGCCAAATTATTTTTTCTACCATTTATTTGACCATGAAAAAGCACATTTTCTTATATTATAGGCTACAAATTTTCATTTAAGCAAATTTTTTTTATAAAGGGGACAAAGGCAAGTGTGCCGTATCCCACAGTGTAAGCTGATATCTCTCAATCTATTGGCTCTCTCATCTTACGCATGAAAACAGACCAGGAAGGATTGCTGACCACCCATTAAAACAATGGGTGAGACATCAGAACGTAAGGTGGTTGAGAAGAAAAGTGGGCATGTACAAAATGGACTGTTAAGGTGCATTCACACCGAAAGTGGTGTCTGCGGTAGTGGGCAGTGGATTTCAAATTATCCCTATATAAACTGGACCTGCAAGAGCGGTGAAGCCGCCATTGGTGAGCTCCATGTGGTGAGAGTGGTCAATGACAAAGAAAGGCAGCATAGACAGAGGTTTTCTTTAGTCAGAATGAATACATAGAAAATGCTGACAAAGGTTGAGATAAGGAATGATTTTAACAGATTTTTATGTGGCTTTCACAAAAGACGACTTAATTTGGCCCTAGAGTAACTGTTCATTGCCCTCCCTTATTTCTAGCACAGTCCCTGGCCTGTCGCTGCCTTTCCCCAGCATTGGTCCTCTTTGTCTAGCTACACTATATTGCCAAAAGTATTTGCTCACCCATCCAAATTATTGGAATCAGGTGTTTCAATCACTTCCATGGCCACAGGTGTATAAATTCAAGCACCTAGGCATGCAGACTGTTTTTACAAACATTTGTGAAAGAATGGGTCGCTCTCAGGAGCTCAGTGAATTCCAGCGTGGAACTGTGATAGGATGCCACCTGTGCAACAAATCCAGTCGTGAAATTTCCTCGCTCCTAAATATTCCACAGTCAACTGTCAGCTGTATTATAAGAAAATGGAAGTGTTTGGGAACGACAGCAACTCAGCCACGAAGTGGTAGGCCACGTAAACTGACGGAGCGGGGTCAGCGGATGCTGACGCGCATAGTGCGAAGAGGTCGCCAACTTTCTGCAGAGTCAATCACTACAGACCTCCAAACTTCATGTGGCCTTCAGATTAGCTCAAGAACAGTGCGCAGAGAGCTTCATGGAATGGGTTTCCATGGTCGAGCAGCTGCATCCAAGCCATACATCACCAAGTGCAATGCAAAGCGTCGGATGCGGTGGTGTAAAGCACGCCGCCACTGGACTCTAGAGCAGTGGAGACGCGTTCTCTGGAGTGACGAATCGCGCTTCTCCATCTGGCAATCTGATGGACGGGTCTGGGTTTGGCGGTTGCCAGGAGAACGGTACTTGTCTGACTGCATTGTGCCAAGTGTAAAGTTTGTTGGAGGGGGGATTATGGTGTGGGGTTGTTTTTCAGGAGCTGGGCTTGGCCCCTTAGTTCCAGTGAAAGGAACTCTGAATGCTTCAGCATCCCAAGACATTTTGGACAATTCATGCTCCCAACTTTGTGGGAACAGTTTGGAGCTGGCCCCTTCCTCTTCCAACATGACTGTGCACCAGTGCACAAAGCAAGGTCCATAAAGACATGGATGACAGAGTCTGGTGTGGATGAACTTGACTGGCCTGCACAGAGTCCTGACCTCAACCCGATAGAACACCTTTGGGATGAATTAGAGCGGAGACTGAGAGCCAGGCCTTCTCGTCCAACATCAGTGTGCGACCCCACAAATGCGCTTCTGGAAGAATGGTCAAAAATTCCCATAAACACACTCCTAAACCTTGTGGACAGCCTTCCCAGAAGAGTTGAAGCTGTTCTAGCTGCAAAGGGTGGACCGACGTCATATTGAACCCTATGGATTAGGAACGGGATGTCACTTAAGCTCATATGTGAGTCAAGGCAGGTGAGCAAATACTTTTGGCAATATAGTGTATATACAAGGAAGTACCCCTGAATGCAACCTTTATCCGGACCGGCTCTGGATGAACCAAAGTCAACTACTTTTTCAGATTTTTCAATAATTTGTGATCTTCCCAAGTCGATTCAGAATTTATGCGTCAAGAAAAAATTATCAGCAGTGTGTAATTTTACTTTTCCCCTATATGAAATGCAACATTAAATTTCCCCTATTGTGAAGCGATTTTGACAGGAAATGCTATGGGGTTGCCAAGGGTAATTGCAGATCCAAATTGAAGGATCCAGGAGGCTGATGAACTTCTAAGTCTTGTGAACAATCATTCCATCCAATAAATAAGGTTAACTGTTATATTCAGTGACAGCACAAGAATGTCATATATTATACAATAATTGTATATTTGGAAATGAGTGCAGCACTAACCTCTGGTCAGATTGTGACATCATGAACAAGATTAGAAATAATTATAAACCAAGCCAGCAGAAACAAACGTTTTACCCACACAAATCTGCACGAAAGTAGGACTAAAGGTGTAGACCACTTTGGATAAAACTTGGGCTTAATGTGATTGCTGCTAATTTGTCTTGAACTATCTAAGTTTCGAGTGTAGCTATTGCTATTGAAAAGTATGCCGACACTGGATCGGGTTCAGTCGCTCCGTCCCCCGCTGTGAAATTAAGCGAAACTTAATATTAAATTGGTAAAATCAAAGGCCAACTTCAAGTGGAGATAATATATATATGTATATATATTTTTATTATCATTATATTTTTTTTTATTTGCACATATACATACGACGAGAATTAGGCCCAGGTTAGAGATTTTTTATTTTTTTCATTTTTTAATTTTAAGAATATTGTAACAATGTGTCGTACCATTACGAGAATTAAGCTTTACGCTCCGACCGGCGCCACCAAACAGCAGCTTGTGTCCACTTTGACATACTACCCAATTTGATGCTGGTGTGCAAAAAAGATTATCTTATTTGTCAAACCAGAGCTAAGGTATAACTTCACATAATGCTGGAAATTCCTCATTTTAGTGAAGAAAAGCTTCTTGTAAAGGGCTGGTTATACTCCTGCAGCAGTGTGTCGCAGTGAGCTAGTTGCAGGTATGACGCAGACAGTTTTGATTTATGCTCAATATCGAAGCGTGGTCTGCGCTATTTTATTCCACATCAGAGATGGCAAAAGTACTCACTTTCCGTACTTGAGTAAAAGTACAGATACTTGTGTTAAAAAATACTCTGGTAAAAGTGGAAGTACTAATTAAACTTCTTTACGTTGCCTACATTTTAAATGGATGTCTGCCAATAGGACTAGATCTCCGTTGTGTTAATTTTCAATCATCTCGTCGTCCATACTACTATGCTAACGCCACCGCCACCAAGCTGCAATGATTTGCCGCGAATGAATACCGCCGAATCTGTCGATTAATCTTGTAGTGGTGCGTCAAATGCAACGTAGATTCCCATCCAATTAGATTGAATTTGGTGTTGATGACATGAAAAATAATAACGGTAACTCCATTGAAATGATTCAAAACTAAAGTAACGAGCCAATTTTTTTAAATGTAAGGAGTAGAAAGTACAGATATTTGTGTAAAAATGTAAGGAGTAGAAGTAAAAAGTCGCCATAAAAATAAGTAGTAAAGTAAAGTAAAAATATCAGAAAAATCTACTTGAGTACAGTAACGAAGTATTTTTACTTCATTACTTCCCATCTCTGTTCCACACCACAACGCAAAAGGGGAAAATCACAAACTAGCTGTGGGTCTAGATACGGCCAAGGGCAGTGAAGAAAATTAGGGCAAGTTTGTCCAACAACAGAGGGACATGAGGGCGATGAAGAGCGGGGAGCCAGGTGGAAAAAGGGTCCCAGCATTTTCGCGCACATCGCTCTTCTAGCTAGTCCAACTTCATAAGTCGTTTTCCGCAATTGCGGTCATACAAACAAAACAAGTCGGTAAGGTACCAAAAAGGAGATACGCAAGAGTAGAGCTGATGTAGATTTGACCGATCAGAGGCCTCCTGTCTGCGGTCACCTACAATTTGGGAGAGGTGCAGCAGAGTGTCTGCGGAGGGGGCGGGCACGTCTCTGCGTTCACTGCGACACCTTACGTAGATGACCTAGTTTCAAAGTATAAATCAGCCTTAAGAGTTGTCATAAAACAACTTTTTCTCATAATTTTAGGGCTTTATTCTCTTAAAATTACTAATTTATTCTCGTTTTTTTTAAGACTTTATTCTCATTTTTTTATGACTTTATTCTCAAAATAGAAAAAAAAAATCTCTAGCCTGGCCCTAATACTCCATCATATATATAGACTTCTTGCCCAATTACATTATCAACATTTGGTGAAGCAGGGGGAGCTAAAATCAAACGATATAGAAGTGAATAGTATGTATAACACTAGATATCACAAGCATATAATGAGACATCTGTGCAGAGTCTTCACTTACGGCTGTTCCACTCCTGCGACGTGGTCCATGAAACCTTCTCCTGTTGTCGCTGACTGGTTTTGGTTTCGAGCTCTCCTCTTACTCCTCAAACCAAGGCATATAGACAACAGCAGCATGACAATCCCAACTCCAACGAGCACCAATGCCACCGATGAGGATTTGCTGCGATCTGTGTTGTCTTCTTCTTCATCATCATCAGGCTTAGTACCTAAGGAAGTGGAATTTGTAGAACCTGACAATGCATCCTCAGGTATCACAGTCCAGACTATCATGACGATCCCAAGGGCGATGAGTCCCACTCCCAGGGCACACAGGGCATAGTGGGCACCTGAACCTCTGGTTTCAGAGCTGGATCTGTTTGGACGGTTGTTGCCCCCACAAATACTTGGACTGGAACACATACTGGCAGCACAAACTGCTGTAGGAAACAAAAAAAAAGGTTGTTTAGAAGACATTAAAGATAATTCTTTCTAAAGTTATACCTAATCACATGATCTAAATGCCATCCAGATAAGGGGTTTTAAAATGAGTGTGGTGTGTCATTGGACAGGCTCTGATAACACTTCAAAGTGAGTCTTCTCCCCAATGAAGCAAATCTTACTAGCTGTAATTAATGTGTAACAGCTGGTATGTTATTAAAAGCAGGCATGGGTCTGCAACGGGCAGTCCCAGAACCACAGGTAACTCTCCAGACCTTCCTCAATGGATTTTAATGACTATTTAAAACAGATAAAGTATTTAATGGAATAATTGCAATATAATCATCTTATAGAGAAAATATTACAATCCTTTGTTTGCAAGATTTTAGTTTTTCTTTATTTTCAGACCTTAAAATATAATAAAATTAAATGACAATAGCAAATATTTATCCATTGTATATACATTTTTTCTTTTTTTGCTAAAAGCTCATAATAGGTATGGCGCTAAAATTCTGAATGCAAAAATGGTTCTTTGTATTGTAAAGGTCTGAGCACTCCAAACTGCAGGAACTGCGGCTACAGGATAATTTTTTTAATCACAGTACTCCAAAGTTACAATTCTAAAGAGAACTTAATGATGTAAATAAATATGGGAAAAAATGTAGATAAAGTTAGTAAAATTATGACAGCCAAATTAATTCTCTTAATTCCTAATTAAAGATTAACCTGCAGGCACTGATTATCACCGTAAAAGGCATAATGAAAGTCTTTTAAAAATATATATACAGATTCCTTGATTAATTTATGTGTTGGTAAGGGGATTTTTTGTCTTAAAATTTTTATGAAAAACATAAAAAAACAAAACAATATTTTTAACAATATACAAAATATCTAATCAATATGAAAGATTTAATACTTTTTTGTAAAATAAAAAAAACAACTCCATCTAAAGTTGTCAACATTGAAGATATGTCTTTTTTCATGTGCTAATATAGTTCGTCTGCATTACATCAGTGTGGGGAAAAAAGGGGGGACACATCTGTGGGGCGCACAGAGAAATAATTTTTCTCCTTACAACAATTCTAACAATTACTTTGAACGTTTTCTTAATAAGCAAATTTAAAAAATACATTGTTAAATTCCATGTGAAAAACATATTTGATATAAGACACAGAATGTTATGCACAGTATTGATATACCATTAAGCTATGATAAAGCAACACTAGAAACATTTAACCAAATTATTTGTTTTACTATTAGGTTTTAAATAGACTGTAAAGCATAACTGCAGTAATGCATATGAATGAGAAAGGAAAAAATGAATGACAGGCATGTCTAGAAATTAGGTCTATTGTGACATATTCACAAGGATCAGTTGACCTCAGTGTTGATCAGACTAAATGGAAATGTGTCTTAAGTCTTAAGCAAATCATACATAATTTATAATTAAGAGCTATATAGTTTATGACCACTTATTTTTATAAGATACTAAATTAACAAAAAGTGAAATCCAGTATATTTGTCATTGTTTTACATGACAGGATTCTTTTAAAAATTATTTTCGAAATAAAATCAAATGACTGGGTGATGAGAAGCTGTGGCAATATTTTGGTGACACAGTCAAACCCAGCATTATTTGCGCACTGTGCTGATTTGGATTTAGAATTACTTCCATTCAACCACAAGCATTGTATTGAAAGTAAGAGATGGGGATCTCAAAAAATATAATATATAGGAGCATTATTGTTGAATTAAAAACAAAAAATTCGGTTTTCCTGAAACTGTTATAACCCAAGTTCTATTTTATTTTTAGCTCCATCAACACATTCAGGGCAGGAAAATTACCTTAAACCTTAATCCTTTATATGACACTCAGTGAAATACTTTGAAAATCTACATTTCTAGCCAATAGTGTTATTGGAATCGAGGACAAGACCTTATTACCTTTGTAACATTTTGATGGCAGAAATGTCAATGTAATAACAAGAATAGGGCTGGGTAAAAAAAAAAAAAAAAAAACGATTTTGAATAGATTCCTTTACATTTTTGGAAAATCGATGTCTAGGGAATGAGATCGATTCATTTTATAGTGACCCGCGTGACGTTAATATTCAAATAAGCAGGAAAGATGCACTCAAGATTACATCAAGCCAGACAGCTGCAAAAATACCCAATAGGTTGACTGAAGACATTAACAAATGGGGGCTGACCAGCAAACACCCTGTAGTTGTTAAAGACAACGCTTCAAATATGGTTTGTACGGTGGAGATAATGCAGCTCATGGATTTCTGTTGTGTCCCATGTGCTTGCTCTAGTGAAGCTTCACTTTTTCACTTTTCACAAATAAGTTTGCACTTTTGAGCCAGTTAGTGTCACATATCATGTTTAAACTGTCTGATTTACAAGTGTGCACTTTGTGTTTAATGTGACAGGAAAAAACAAAATACATGAGTATTTTAAAAAACTGTTGAACCACTTTCATTATTGTAAAAACAGATCGAATCGAAATGAATCGATTTAGAACCGTATGAATCAAAATCGATTCGATTCAGGACTTTGGCGAAAATACCCAGCCCCAAACAAGAAACTCCAACTTGCCAGAATATATTAAGAAAAATAACAAAAGTGCTTCTATAAGAAATTCATGAAAAACACTGCGAGTGAAAGAAACACATTCTTTGGTCCAACATGACCTTAGAGGCATTAATGCTTATACTGGCAATTACATCTTTTTAGATTATAAACCTAAATATAATTGTTAACTATGCTTATTAACTTTTTAACTTTTCATTTAGCGTTTTACCTTTTTAGACTTAATTTACAGTAGGTAATCCAAGGGCTCATCTAATTGGTCAAATGCCAAAATAAGATATACAGCCATGTAGCAATATCTTTGCTGAATGGCTTGAAATAGATCTTGTGTTTCTAGACCTCAACGAGGGCCTGGGGGGGCTCCATTTGTAAGGGGAATGCAAGTGATCAAAAAGGGTAATATGTCCAATAAAGGGTTAATCTGTCGGAGGTATACATGCATTTGGATTTTGACTGTTAACAGGCAAAGAAAAAAACTGCTTTTGATAATAAAGTTTAAAAAGTAATAAAAACTGAAACTAATATTCAATAAGTTCTGATGGGGTTATTATTCAGCCTAATAAGGCTCGGGCACAGCGCGTTGCATTCTGGGTACGCCGCCATATTGGTAGCTAGTTGCTACGGTAAACAAAGACCTAAAACAGCATAGAGACAGAGCAGAAAGACGAGTAAACAGCGATGTTAAAAGCGAAGAAAGGATGCGGAATATACCGAGACACACTGCAGAGGGAAGCCAGGGACCGTTATCTGCAAAAGATGGGCTTCATAAACGGACTTGATCCCTATGAAGTAGAAAGCAAGGAGTGGTGCGTTGGGGAAGAATTTCTACCGCCGTTGCGAGGGAGGACGTATTTTCGTATCTAGTGTGTGGCGTCAGTGCCTACACACATGAAGAGTTTCGCTGCTACAAGTCGCTAGAGGCTTACAAACAGCTGACAGATGGAAAAGTTCATGACATGGAAGTTATCAAGCCGAATGAGAACACAGTCATCAGAGCCAAGGTAAGCTACCGTCTCAACATGGTGTGGTGTTTGTTGTGGTGATAAGACTAGGTGCTGGCACTAACGTAAAACATCAAAAATGTATCTACTGGCTTTCCTGGTGAAACAACCAAAACTATTAACCCTATTATAAACTATTAATGACAAAATAAACAGAGTAGGACAACTGTTTTGTGTTTCAGTGGACCTGGCTAACCCTCTGGAACACAACCCTACTTCAGCTCATGCTACATGCTACAGATCAGCCAACAACGGTTAACTTGAAATGATACATGAATAAAAACAGTATGTTCTGTAACTTACCAGAATGAAAATGCCGGGAACACACTCTCATGGACACAGGGATTGAGTTGAAAGTTATATTTGGCCGTCTTACAGCAGCGACCCATGCTAGCCGGCGACTCTTTGTTATGGAGGACATTTGTTTTCCATTGAGACGCTTCCAGGTTGGAAAACGGTAAAAAGACAATCCATTTGGGATTTTTTTCCCCGTCCAGTCACAGCTTGCGCTACTACACCCTACGACACAGCAACGGGCGACCATAACGACAGCAGAGGTAAAATGAAACGGCAAAAAACTAAGCAAACTACTAGCAGAAGAAAGCTAGTCCTTACAGGCGCGAAGTCAAAGTGTAAACAGTGGGCTGACCAGCTATCAATATGGCTGCCGCGCAACGTGTAACGTCATGTGCCCGAGCCTTATAATGGAGACAGGGTTTTGCAGAACATCTTCAATTAATAAATTATATTTTTTTTATCTGACAAATGAAGATGATTTACATTAACTGACATTCATTTCCTTAAAACAAAACCCAAAGAACATCAGTGGCGCAATAACTCAGTTTGTTGTGTGGGCGTTCTAACACACTTTACTCAATTTACCAGGTAGTGTCTTCCTAAATAAATCAAGTTTTGACTTTGTATTTTTAAATACATCATTAATCAATTAAAACAGAAAAGGATTAGAGCCACAGAAAAAATAAAAATTCTGACTTTAATCTCAGAAATTTGGATCTTAATGTAGATGGGCACCATTAAGGAAGAGATGTGGGAGCCCTCAGCTTCACTGACAAAGATATGAGTTGTTTGGGAGGGCCAGTAACACATTGGTGGAAAATGACGAAATTAGGTGACTTTTTTCATGCCCGAGGGGTCCCTGGTGATGCGATTTCATTAATGGAAGAGTAGAAGGTGATTAAAACAAGAGAGCTAGTTTAGTCTCTAAAATACACATGGCTACAGCTTGATGCTAACATGTTTGTTAGTTGTCAGAATTCCGTCAGAATTCTGAGATTTAAATTAGAATTTTTAAATTAAAGTCAGAATTCCGAGATTAAAGTCAGAATTCTGAGATTAAAGTCAGAATTCTGAGATTAAAGTCAGAATGCTGACTTTTTTTCTCATATTATACTGGAATAAAAGTTAAAAATCAGATAATTAAAAAAAAAAAAAATCAGTGGCCCTAATGCTCTTCCATGCATTGTAAATTGTGATAACATTTGGTCTAGTTTGAACGAAAGGAGCCCAGCTGTGTCTGTCTGGCATTAACTAGTTCCCGGTTGCTTGTTCCAGGCCTGTCTGACAGCGTGCATGGGCGTCACCTGCTCCATATTAGTACATTTCCAGCCTTAAAAAAAACTGCCTCTGCTGCAATAAAGTTTTAACTGACTTTCTGCTTTTAAGAGTAAAAACAAAAACAAAACAAAACATCTCTCCACAAATGAGACGGTAAAGGTCCTAAAGTTAGTGATCCCTGTCCCTTTATAAAGCGCTCCTCTACCTGTTTTAGTAAAGTAGGAAGGGACCACAAGCTGACCCACCTTGTCTGACAGGCTCGAGAACATCTCAGTTCTTCTGTTTACAGACACCAAACTAATTGAGTGACTCTTTAACAACGCGGTGGTGCCTTAAAACATAAGTAAAGTCCGAAGCTGTCCAGGTTTAAAGGTGTAGAAAAGGCCTTACCTTTTCACCGCTCACTGCCCAAGGACTTCCCTCTTCATCGGGCAGTTACCTGAATCCCGCAGGTGTTTTTTCAGGAAGTCCAAATTAGAACGAGAAGCAGAAACGAGCAGACACGTCACTAACCTAGCTGTTGCGTTTGTACTTGTATAAATATATATATGTAAGTATTAATGAATATATTCCCGCTATAGTTCTCTGTGGGAACAAATGTAATAGTCAGGAACTTTGAACAAGAGGTATCCGTAGTGAGACCTCCCTTCTGCCTGTCGGTTGAATCTTTGCTCTTCTTCATGGTCCTAATGCTGCTCATGTTAACGCCCTGAGCGAGCAAAATAACAAATAAATAAATAAAATTAATAAAATAAAATAAAATCCCCCCCAAAAAGAAAAACATAAACAAATTATCGCAATGTAACGGAAGAGCCACCGGAAAAAACCCGGATTTTTAACTATTATTTCAGTATAATATGGGAAAAAAGTCAGAATTCTGACTTTAATTTCAGAATTCGTGCTTTTTTTTCTCAGAATTCGGATTCAGTCTAAGAATTTTGGATCTTAAACCAAGGGGTCCCTGGTGATGCTATTTCAGTAACGGAGGAGCAGAAGGTGATTAAAACAAGAAAGCTAGTTTAGTCCCTAAAACAGACATCACTACGGCTTGATGGTAACATGTTTGTTAGCTGTCAGAATTCTGAGATTAAAGTCAGGATTCTGAGATTAAAGTCAGAATTCTGAGGAAAAGAGTCAGAATTCTGAGATTAAAGTCAGAATTCTGACTTTTCTCTCATATTATACTGAAATAAAATGTAAAAATCAGTAAACTTTTTTCAGTGGCCCTAATCCTGCTCAGTACAATGTTAAACTTGGGCCAACTCTCATTTTTTTTCCTGAATATTATACTCTGAAGAGCTTTTCTACCACGGTGTTTCATTTGTAATTTTATATTCCTGCTTAATGGTTTTTATACAAATATGGTTCACCACCCAAAGCAGCAAGGTGTGACAATCATCTGCCATTCTTTTACTTGATCTGTTGTTTTATGTACCTGTCTCTTAATTTTATGTATTTCTGTTTAGTATGTAACTTTGCTGCCTCTTGCCAAGGGGTGAAAACAAGGTTTTTAATCTCAATGGGATTTTTCCCCCCTGGTTAAATAAACTTTAATAAAATAGTAATGACTGCCCCCTCAAAAAGTCTGACACTTGTAAAAGCCGATATTTGACTTTTTTGGGTATTCAGACAGAAGGGACTGGACCCACAGGTTGTTTTGTAAGTTAAACAACAAAAGCAATCATTAAAGGGGTAAATTAAGGTCTGTTTTATTACTTAACATTCTGGCAAACATAAAGGCACTTGTACTGTGTTTAAGGTAGTTTTGGCAATATTTTATTATTTTTAGTTTTATTAAAGTTTTAATAACTGGTAATGAGCTGTAAATATCTTACCTTCTGTACATATACATTGATTTGATAGGGTAAACAATCAGAAATACACCATGTGACAACAAGTCACATCCTTTAGATGTCATTCTGGGTTATGCAATAAAAATGATACAAGCTTTTAACCCACAACTTCTTTTTTTGCTGAAGTCTCTGACATATAAATCTATAGCTGTAACTCTAGGTTAGAAGCAGTAACACTCCCCTTTTAAAGATGCATCACACAGCAAGGTTAGACAATTACTACAGTGGCCCAAACAAGACTTTTCCAGAAACACAGGATAGAGGACATACATTTTCCCCTGTAATGTAACCCAGAATGTTTTCCCATAATAATGATTCAAGACAGAATGATTCACTCTTTAAAAACAGCAGCTGTATTTGGAGAAAAAAAAAAAAAGTGAATTTCTGTAATTTTTTTCTTTTGACTGACTGACGTTGGATCATTAAAATGTCTTCTTAAAGCTTCATAAAATGTAATATATTAGTTATCTCATTCTCTCATAATGTGTTTAATGACCAAAGGAAAACGCTTAGAGTAAAAAAAAAAAACAAGACAGTGTCCAGGAACTCCATGCAGGCTCAATCAGTGAAGTATTACTTTTCCTCAACATTGTTGCAAAGTGATGGGTAGATGTTGTTTCTTTAAACAAAGCTGCAGAAGGATGAGATTAAGGTTATAATTCAGATCACATTTTATTATTTTAAGGAGAATAGGAATGTCTGCAAGTTACCATATCTTTATTGACCCCTCCCCTTTGTAAGCTACACATTATCCTTCAGCAGTATTAAGCAACCCCTGAAGCTCAGTTCTGAATTAAGCTTCAATTCTCCAGCCTTTTGAAAATAACAAATAAAGCTAATGGATAATGCTCTCTCTTATAAAACCCAACACATATGAAAGTGACAAAATTTTCATCTGTCACACAGAGTACATGTCACAAATATGTATATTTGTTAAACTCCATGAGATGGGCTGTGCCTTTACGGTCTGTCACGCAAAGGATTATGGGAAACCGGATGGCTCCTAGCGACAATTATGGACGTCAGGAGGTCCCCATGCAAAGTGTATTGCCAAATTAGTAACTAGACTGCTTCCTTGTCCTAGCTCCTTCCTAACTGCCAGCACTACTCAGATAGCACTCATTATGGCGACCACATCCGCACTTCCGCTTTGTCCTTACCGATTTGAGGTTTTGTGATCAAACAAAGATATGATGGAAACCTCATTTAAACAGCCACAGCAAAGACTGTCAGTCACATAACTGGTTGAGGCCGTTTACAGGTGATTTGCCAATAGCTTTTTGTGAAGCTTTACCAAGTTATTTTCAGATTGATACCAAGGGATCGAGATTTAAAGTAATACTGTAAAAGTGAGACACAAAAAGAAACACAGCTGAAAAAGCTGCATCTGCCCCGAATAAACGTCCTAGTTGTCCCACTTTAGTTTTTCTGAGATCTTGTCACCCCATCCAGAAGGCTAAAGGATGTTCGGATTTTGCGCAGTCCAAACAAAGTCTGTATCTTCTGATAGCTACTTTCTGTAGGAAGATCAAACATCCAGTGGTGGTCCACTAAGCATGCATTCCAATCGCTTCCACAGTTACTGGGTTTAAATTCAATAGTGCAATTTTGGAATGTCATTTAATTGGAGATTAAAATCAAAGATGTCCAGCTGACAAAACAGCAACTGTTGTGCTTTGCTATCATGTTGACATGGACCTAAATCCCAGGGAATGTTTCTGATACATAGAAATAAGCTATTTCAGAATAGAAAAAGAAGGTCCAATCCGAAGTATAACTAATAAAGGGGTTAGTGGAAACCCTCTCTGGAGGCAGAATCAGATTTTATGAGTGGTTATTAACAATCAATGACTTTCTTTCTCATGTTATAGTCAGAGGAAAAGCTGAAAAATCTGGGTAAGACATTTGCAAACCATTTCTAGATAAAGTTTCTCCATATATATTGGAAAATATAGCATCTGTAAAGCCTTATCTCTAAGAAACCTTAATTACAAAGAGTATTTTATGTGTACTTCTAATTTCTAACAATCCATCCATAGTCTATGCCCCGATGTTTTATTATTTTACCCTTTAACAAAGAATAAGCATGTTTAAATTATTATTATTTTTTTTTTTGCTTACTCAGGTTGATCTTTTCAAATTTAAATCCATTTATCTTAAAAATAAAAATAAAAACAGTGGCATGTTTAAACTGTCTAAGTAATAACTCAACCATATAGGTTGTTGTGAACATATGGAAATATAGAATCCTTTTGGAGAGGACTGCTAAAATTCATAATTCATGTTAAAACACTTCCTTAATTTTTTCTGAACAGGCTTGAACAAGTCCAATCTTCCCGCTTTAACAGTTGCTTTGTGACTGTAGACGACGCCCAGAATCTGGCAGCCAAACCCGTTTTGTCCAACTTGAAGGGGATTGAACATACACAAAATACCTCTGAGGGCTGCAAACAGCTCTTTTTTTTTTCTTAGAGATTGCAGTATGTAAAATTGCCACTAGCAAAACAGCAGAGTTGCCTTTATTAACCATGTAAAGAACATTCAGGTTTATACATAAAAATTTGTTTAAACAAACAATGAACAATAAAATTACAGAGAAAATGTTATTACAATTAACATTTGTGCAGAGCATAGTAATTAAATTGGAAGAACTGGATGAGAGCAATAAGAAGATGGTTGTTGATTAAAACTCTAATGAACAGGAAAATCAAATAATACTGTATAATATTTTCTTACAAATGAGGAAAGTGCTGGAACTCATTGAATGCGGCACACTTGATCCCAATACACATGCACTATTAATAAAAACAGGAGTGCATTAGAAGAGGTACTGCTTTGCAGAGATGTTACTAGACTTGATCTCAAACAAATTAAACTTTAATTTCATATCTTTAAATTCATGTGATAAGTCTTTGCCATTCTGCCATTGTTAAAGTGAAATTTAAAGGTGCATAGCCATGTCATATGCAAAAAAAACAAAAAAACAAAACATTTTGATTATGATAAAAATAAGTTAATATACAACACACATCCATCCTGATAGTGTTTAAATAGTCCATTATATCCTTGCTCACCAACTGTGCACATGTGACATTTGGCTCCTCTGGTCAAGTGATGTTGCTGTTGTAAATATATACACAGAAGGGCTTTATGTACTCACAAACTTAGCAAAAACAAAGCATAAAAAACAAATATAGAAAAAACAATATCACAGCAGAATGTTGTAATTTTTCGTAAAAACTTTGTATGCAACCAGAGTGAGCAACTGGTGTATACATTTGAAAAGCTAGAGTATATAACAAGTCTAGGCCTTTTTAAAATGTATCAATGCTAAAGAGACTGGATGAACCTCTGCAAGGTTTGAAATAAAAAAAAAATAAGTAAGGAATGAGTTCCTGTGTAATTGTGGTTCTTTATTAGCTTTTTTATATCATTGTGTTTTTGGCACCATTTAGGTTTGCCTAACTCCCCTTCTTTTGAAATTTGACAGTAAAAATTCCAGTTTTAAAATTCTTTCTAGCCTCTGGTTGCTGATAAAGTTTGAATCACCCGCTCATGTCTTAAAAGTGAGTTTCATCATTGATCTACAAGTATAAAGCTGCAGAGATGTAGAAAATAAAAAGTGACTTTTTAACAGCAGAACATGGTGTATAACTTCATTTAGCCCAAAACGTATTCTTTCTTTCTAGAGATGGACCAATACAGTTTTTTAGGCCGATGCAGTTATCGATTTTTTTTCCATATTTATTTCAGTTTAACTGATCCCCATATATGCCCTGCAGATTTCTTTTGGACCCATTCCTTAGAAGGATATTGCTTTCTCTACCTTCATTTGCATGAAAAAAATAACAATGAAACAAAAGTCCCAATTTAACAAAAAAAATAAAAATTAGTTTAAAAAAAAATAATTACAATTAAAAAAAGATAAGAAATTAAGGAAGTGGCAATGCTTGCACCATATGTGCTCTCAAGGCATGGCTGCTTAGTTCACTCCTAACTCAGCAAATACATGCCTGTATTGCTCAATAGCGATACAAGAAAAAAAACGCTAATATTGACCAAAAATATTGGCTGGATAGTGTACCAGTCTATCTCTATTTATTTCTAGAAAATATAAGGTTATGCTTGAGGCCTCATTGTTTTGTTGTAATGCTTATGCATTTAAACAAAGTAATTTTAAATTAAGACTGTTTTACTAAATGTTTCAGTGTTAAAGAGTACATTTAGTCCCACTCGGATTTAGTGTGGGACCGAATGTACTCTTAAAGTGCTACTTTAACACTGAAACATTTACCGTGTAGTTGAATTTGGTGTGTACTGATGCTCCACGTGGGCTGTTCTTTTCAAAAATGTATCTAACTTTAGATAGTCGGATCTATCACTGAATAAATCTTGCGACCCAGAGCCGTCCTTTATGACAGTCTGAGCTCCCCTTAAACGGGAGAACTGCCCTAAAAAGCTGTTGTTAGACAATAAAGTGAAAATGAAACTTACCTGCTCAGACATATTTTTGGTTCCCTGATGCAAGATCTAATTTAGAGAGGTCTTGTCTTTACAAGTAACTCAATGATTTCTTGAACTACTGGTTTAAAAGGTGCTGAGATTCCAAAACAGGAAGCTAATTAAATAAGCAGCCGTGGAATGTTGGCAGTTGCTTCAAAGGGTGCCAAACACTTCAATTCCTCTAAAATGTCAGTCCTCACCCCTATAGAGGAAGGTGTTTTGAACCCCTAAACTCAGTTAAAAACCTGTCAGTCTGACCTGGACTCATGCTAAAGTGACCAGTTTACCCACATTAATCTGATTGGTTTGAGGAATAGGAAGCCAGGCTGGCAACGCCAACAAAATCATTTTTTGGATACCTTCTCAAATGCATTACAGAGACCAAAGTTAGAGGATAAATCATTCAATCAAAATCTGTCAGGTTTCCTAATCTAATGAAACTGGCAGAGAGAATGTGACTGGTTTTTCAGGGGTACAGCCTACATACTCAACTCCACTGCTCTATCTACAAGTGATTTTTTTTCTTGGAAATGTGGCACCATATAAAGGGAAATAGACTTTCCAGGAATATAAGGATTCTTGCCAAAATATAGGGTTACAACAAAGCAATAATTGACCAAATTTCTATCTCTCAACTGAAAATACATACATGTAGTAACATGTATATGTTTTTTTTAAACCAAGAGGCACACCTCAGCTCACATAAAGAAGTAGAAATAAGCATTAAATACATTATTAGACTTTATGTAAGGCATCAAAGGGGTACCGTGTGCAGTTCTTAGTTTAACTATAGCCATCTTTTTGCCACCTGTTCTTTTTTACATTAAGGACATATAAACCTAATTAAAACATCTTCATTATTTTTACAACAGCTACATTGGGTCTATAGAAGTTTCCACGTTGGTGATGATAACAAAAGTAGATCTGACCTATTACATCATGTTTTATACACCTTTAAAAGACATTGACAAGTGCTTGTCATTCTCAACAGTAAACAGCTACAGTGTAAACAGAGGTGAAGATCTTGATGATTCCTTCAAACGTTGGTGATTTCAACACTTTTGAAGGTGTGCATCGGGCTGCCTTTGGCACGGGGAACAGCATGCACTCTGGCCTCTCTGGGCAAAGAGCCACAGTTGCTGTGGAAGCCCAGAGCTCGCTCCACGGAATGACTGTCTGCACGTAACCTTAGTGGACTCTAGGAGAAAAAGGACACACAATGAAACCGTTGCCTTTGGTTTCTCTGGACTCAATAGTCTACCAGCTTCCTCCCTGCATTTGGATTATTCGCTACTATTTAACTAATGCTGTCTAATAGTCTGTTGATGTAGAAGCTCAACAAAGCAGCAGAGGTGGTGGAGGTAATCAACCCGCTTTAGATGGACAAGGGTTTGAATGATTTAGACATTATATTAAAATGTTATCCTAATGGTAAAAGATAGTGAAGGGGTTAATTAGTGTATGTCTTATTCACCGTGGCATATTTCTGTACTAAACATGACTTGAAAATACTGTTTATGCATCCTTCTTTTTTTTTGTGCTATTTTTATTGCCATGGCTGTTCATTGACAGCATTATGTCGTTCTCATTCACCAGCATATCAGCAGTCAAACAATATGTTTTTATTTCCAATGTTACACATTGATGAATGATTTTTCCACTTTCAGGGTGGGTTTTAAATCTTAAGTTCAGAGGAGAGCAACACAAAGAAAGGGCATGAAGGGGGTAAAAATAAAATTATACACACTTATTTCATCTTACAGAAAAATCAACTAGATATTTTTTAATGAGAATGGAAAAGATGACTTTACAGAAGAGGAAGGGAGCCGCTTACAGCTCAACATTAAATAAAAGATGGTCGTTCTGATGTTACAAATTTAATCCATCTTTCCCATCTTTTAAAAAACACAGACTGCTGTAGCCATAAAATATGATAATATATCTATCCACAAATCCGTATCTCTTTCTCATTTATTTATTAGTTTAGATATTCTAAGGCTGAGATAAGGGTTGAAGAATAAAAAAGTGTGTTGTGCTGACTACACTCTCATGTAGATCAGAGGGATATTTTACTATTGCTAAAATAAAGAACTTGCCCTAAATCTGCAAATGTAAGATATTGAGGGGTGATCAGATAATCTCAGATTAGATTCATCAGGTTAAGATGAATTTTAATGGCAGCTACCTACAGTATGTTATTGACTATACTTTTACAAGACATTATTTGAAAAATGATGCTGTTGTAAATCTGCTATGTGCTTTCATTATTTCCATGTTTCATTAGCTTTTTGAAATATTTATGCTTTAACAAGCGGAAGGGGACCAATAACAAACTTTGGACTTCAGACCTTGTGTGCTAGTCTTTAACTGATAGGTGAGAAATGGGTTAGGCATACCTTTCCTAATCTTCTGATAGATATCCTTTCATCAGCAAAGCGATTAACAGCCACAGGTGAAGAAGAACTGATAACCCCAGTGCTCTGCTCTGCATTTCTGTAAACACAATTTCTTTAGTAGTAAAGGGAGACATTCAAGTGTTTTCAATAGATTTGGTTTTTAATGCTACCTTAGAGGTGCAGAGAGAGACTTCATTTCTTCATACAGGTGTCTGTGCAGCATGTGTTTATTGCTGGGGATTCCCAAAGCTTTGGCCAAGGCTTCTGTGTCAAAGGATTGGTCCAGTGTGATAACTGCACCATGAATGCCTTTTCCCTGAAGGTTTTCTGCAAACTCCTACAGAGCAAAATGAGGAAGCAGAATATGAGTCACATGACGGAGTCAGTAATGTCTACAATCATTAATCACAATCATTCCAAAACTGAAACCAGGAAAATAAGCTTTTAAAAAGAAATTTCCTCCTAAGTTTTTTTTTTTCCTCTACTGTTGGCCCTACAATACAATGCAATGTTTTACGTTTCCTTTTTAAATAAAGTTAGACATAAAATATAAAAATAATAAAATACATCTTGGAGTGGTTTGCTTCTGGTTCTCTTTTTTTCTTCTCCTTTATATTTCGTTGTTGACTACCATTATAATCTTTTCTCCTGTCTTTTTATTTTTTTATTTTTTACTTTTTCTATTATGTTTTTAGTTGAAACTGTCCTATATCAAAACTACCGGTAAGCTGGCATCTTGACCAGAATGCACTGGAATAAAGCAGTAATCCATTGGGAACAGTAAATCAAAGCTTTATCATTAATGTAACATTATTGGCATTCTGAACGTGGCAACAAAAAAACAAAACAAAACAAACAGAATGTAAAAAATCTAGGCTGCACATCAGAAAAACTGCAACACTACTGCTGATAACTACCATTAGGATTAAACCAATTTTCCCCAATGTTTTTGAAATTCATCATAATGTCTCAATCACTCTTTTCTCAGCTTTAGCATCTCAGCCACTGAACATGGAAACTTTTGCAGGTATTGAGGGCAACAAAAGTTTAAACAAGGTTGAAGAAATTGTGAAGAAATTGAATCCATGCAAACTAGATTAAGATATTCTCCAAGTATCACATCTACCTTAAGGTCGATGTCCTTGATCCACTTCATCACTCTGTTACACGTCCAGACAAGAGGGTCTTGGTTTTCATGCTCGCATTTTAAGCGACGTAATTGCAGGGCCTTTGGAATGGTGAACAAACAGCAGGATAAGAAGCACAGCCATGGTATGAAAATAATGGGAATTTTTAGTCAAACACATTTTATTTCTTTTGCATATGATAGAATTAGGTCATGTACGTTAATGCTCTTTTGAAATGTTGGTGGGGGTTTTGTAGTTATGTGATACTTTCAACAAACAAAAAATGCTAGTTTAAGTTTAAAACTATAGCCTGTTTTTTATAAGTCTATTTTCTACACCACATCTGTCCTAACAATTTCATATTTGATTAATTAGGTTTTGCCTTTGTGTGACAGCCAGGTGTAATGTCAATTAAGCTTTGGTATTATTTTACACCAAAAGTCAGCCATTGTGACACATTATGATCAGACCTCTTTGTCAAAGCTGAGCATCTGCAGGAGCTGGATTCCTAGTAGGAGACTCGTTTGGTGGAAAGGCTCGCTAATGTTCAGGAATCTCTCCAGATCTCTGCGGCTCAGGGAGTTCAGCACCCGTCCGTCCACTAGGTTTGTGTGGAAGGTTTGGAAGTACTGAGGTAGGCCTACGTCACTTAGCCATGATGTGGAGACCCAGTGATGATCCAGCTCAGATGCTTTTGATAGTCTGAAAGAGGACAAGACTTACTGTAGTTTAGCGAATACTGTCTTTAATCCACTTTATGCAAATATCAAAAACCCAGCATGGGGAGAGTTGTAATACCATTAGTTCTAACAGCAGGGAACAGAAAACAAGTTCTATGATTCTATCATTATTTAGCCATCCCTCCCTTTGGATTACATGGTGAATGCAAAGCCTGAAAGCCAGAGTGTTCCAATTTTATTGCGGAAAAAAAAGGGTTAAAAAGTGTTTAACAAATGTACAGTTGTTTTCTTACTAATACAATAGCAGCTATACTCAAATTCCAGTTAAAAATATAGGTTCTCAAGCAAATATCTGTGGATATATCCTGAACTAATTTTTGAGCTGCAAATGTATTAAAATTTGGTAAAAACTTTTTTTAATCTTAACCCTAACTATTACCAACACATGCCTAACCCTAACCTGAACTAAAACCTTAGTCCTAAATTTAACTCCGGCACAAATAAGAGAACGTTACCTATATGTGTAAACAGACTGAAGTCCCCACACTGTCATATACTGTAAAACAAGTCCACAGAACCCCAATCACACACACAACGCTTCATTCTTGTAGACTCTCTCTCTCTTACATACGACTTTTAACAGATGGAGAACAATTGTAGACTCTAAATCTCAGACAAAAAGAGTGACAGACCCTGTTCTCGGTTTTTCTATTTATTGCTATCCCTATTTTTCCTGTTTTTGTCTTATTGTGTGAACTCACTCCTCATTGCTTCACAACCTGACCCAGTAATGGGGTAGGTAACAGGAGGACTGTTTCTTTGCCATAAACTCATCAAGTGAGATACTTGGTTTTATTTGTAGTAAATACATGGTGGTATAATAAAAGTTTAAGAAGTGTAGCTGAAAATCAGGGAGTTAGAAACACTGAATCAAAAGGTGTCACAACCATCCCTGTTCTCCCCATCCAAAAGACCACAAAACAAGGTCAAACCAAACTTCATAAAACAAGTCATAATTAATAATGTCATACTGTTGGTAACGGCATCTGTGGGCCGTCATGCAAAAGTTATACCTTTGTAATACTTTTGCATGTTTTTTTGTTGTTTATTAATTATGTCTAGCAATCAACAACTTCCAATAACCTCCACTTTCCTGTCTGGTCAGTTCAAGTCTCTATGGTAGATGTGGTTCATTGCAAATTTGCTATCCAGGAGCACCTTCCAGATGTCCAGTGCAATGCTGAGGTAATATTTAGCACCTTTGGTTGGGGCAGCATGTGGACAATATATACCACTGTTTCTTCTTGCTTTCCAAATCACTTCTCTTGCTGAGCAGGGATTCAGTCAGTCCAAAAAAAAAGTGTTCTTTGGTGTATACTTTATGACATATAGATTACAGAGAAATTAAAATTTGTTATGGGGTAAAAATTTAAACTTCTGATTGGAAACTGTCTGATAGTATAACTATTAAATATATTTCTTCAGATGGGTATTATTTGCTTTCCCAAGACAGAATGTCCTACTTACCCCTGCTCCAATTCTGCTCTCCTGTAATCCTCAATGGCCAGTCGAACTTTTCTGCGATGAAGTTGATTAGTAATACCCAGACCCAGCTCTAAATCTTCATCCGTCAGACTCAGCAGCACCTAAACAACAGAAGACCCAGTCTTACAGAAGTGACAACAGCATCCATGTTAACCTATGTGCTACACTGCACACATCCAGATAAACAGAAAAGCTTGTAAAATGGAAGAAAAATCATACCTTGCCACTTTTGACATTTTCGGAGCAGGCTCGCATATACATTGGCATTCCCATGACAACCTCCATCCAGGCCTGCACGGCCCCTGCCCTCCACAGGGACATGCAGGTGGTTCGAGTGAGCTCTGCCTGCTGGAGGCGGTCCAGCTGCTCCTCTCCGTCAGACATGCTGTGCTGTGTGTCAGAGTCTGGGTTGGTCAGGAGAAGTTAGGCGGTGGCATACAGGAGAGGTTGGGGATCAGAGGGATATGGAAATAAAAGAGTGACTTATCTGAAAAAGGCATAAAACATCTTCTAAATATGTCAGAAAATGAGGAAAAATAAAAATTAAAAACAGCAACATCAAGAAACAACTGAAGGTTTTAATGAGATTTGTTTTCAACGGCAACTATTTTTTCTATGAACAGATGCATCTCAGTAAATTAGGTTGTTGGAAATGTATTTAAATAATTCATTCAGTGAATGAAGCTCACATATTCTTCTGACTCATTATTTATAGAATGATATATAATAACTTTTTATGTTAGTAATTTAATGATTGTGGCTTTGAGATAACTCTGACTTAAGGAAATAAAAATAAAAAAAACAATAAAAAAAGCATACCATACACCTGAAAAGTTTGTCCATTTATTGTACAGTTTAAGCATCAATGCTTTGTTTGGGCTTGTAAAAGATAGGCTCTGTGTATGCACCTTGAAGCTCTATCTCTCCAGATCTTTGTCCTGAAAAGAGATCACTCAGGACAAACTCTTTAAATAACACTTCATATCTTATATGTGTTAAAATACCAGGAGACATGACCACAGATTCTGATAGAAATTGTAATCTTACTCAGATTAGATAAGTTGCTTAGAATTTACAGAGGGCAGCAGCTCACCTCCAGGCTCACCTGTCAGGATGTGGCCACGATTAACAGTTAAAAAAGCCTTTTATACATCTCTAGTTTGCCACATCATCACATCATTACATCAGACACATTAGTAGATGAGTGGACATCATGGCTCCAGCCTTATCAAAATATTACACATTGTTCTTAGCTGAAGGACACCGCTCTCATTCCATTTCCAAATCTTTACCACGTACAGAATAAAGATTATAACAGTATATCCGGACAGAGAAACAGCCTTAATTAGATAAACTATTGTAGAAAATATCAGTTCTGACATGCAACAGGCAGCTAATATTAAGGTGTAATAAACTCACACATCATCAATGATAATTATCCTAACAGGCTCCTTTTGAATGAATAATTGCATCATTACAGGTTGGCACCGAGGCGATCAGCCTGTGGCACTGCTGGGGTGTTAAGCCACACCCAGGCTACCTTTATGAATAGCTTTCAATGTGCCTGAGATGATGGTTCTGGAGTCTTTCAACTTTCTTTTGACAAAACTCCACTGATCCTCTGTCAGCCCAGTTTGAAGGCAAGTCAGGCAAAGTGATGCTATGATGTAAGAAAACTTTTATCAGCCAATATGTCCTGCAAAGTCAAACCTGCATCTTCATAAAGCTTTTCAGTAAAAAAAAAAAAGCATGAAGTGCTCTGGACTGTCCGGCAGAAAGAACACGTCTATAGCGGCAGGTTAAACAGCCCAAAACTCCAATGACTGAAAAAAATCACACTTCAGTTCAAACAACATAGATTCTGAGTCTCCCAACTCTTCTTCTAAGTGGTGAACTCTTGATTATTTCAATAAGCTCAAACATCACCAACATAATGAGTACGATCTTTTTTACTCCATTATTTAGTGGCACTGGAAGGATTCAAGCTGCAGTCCAAACCTTGTGAATCTTACCCATGAGATTTGCCTAATAACGCCCTCAAATGGTTGGCATTTTTGCTTGTGTGGCTTTTTCTGCCACATTTCTTTTCCCTTCAGCTCAACCTTCTTTTTAATTTCACTTGGTAACAGCATTTTAAACATTAGCACATGACCTTTAGCGGCTTATCCTCCTGGACAGTTGTAATATCAAGTCTTTCACACGGCTGGATAAGCCATTATATCACATTTCTGCATTAAATTCCTTTCTGTCATTTTAACCTTTTAAGCAAAAGAAATTTTCTTTTCAAATTTAATAATTAGAAGTATAGTAGAAGTATAAATCAACTTTAAGAATACTAATTTAGTGAGATGCACCTGTAATTGTAACTCAAGAACTTTTTTTTTAATAGAAAAATTACACCACCAATCCACCGGGTGGTGCCAAAACATTTCCCTTCACATAAATGTTCTCTGTTATATCTGAAAAAAATGTTTAATATTCATTTGATATAGGACAAAATTATCTCTGAATATGTCAGAATACAGCTAGACAAGTCAAGTTTGTGGTTAAACTCACTACTGATGCTAGTGAAGGTATTACTAAGTATATCTGATGGATATGAAGAATTACTGCCATTAAGAAAATGTAATACATTCATAAAATCTCATGTTTCTGCCATTTATGAAAGACTTAAAACACTGACTTGAACCAACGAATCCTGCTTGATTCGTCTCCTCATGCTGACACAAGGGGCTGCATGCAAATCCAAATGTCACTCTGAAGTTTCTGTTTTTTTCTATCTTTTCTCCTCAAAGAACAGCAACACATACTTGCATTTTTTTTTTTCTTGAATGGACATGAGCGATATGAATAATCCCCAAAGTGCAGAAACAGACAGCTGGTAATCACAGATGAGGAGTTACTCACTGGTTTAGGAGAGAGTTGCCATTAGGAAATGGCAGGAGGAGGAGACAAACACGTTAGACTGAGACACAGGAACAGGATTACTCATGGAACAGAAAAACTACCACAAAGTGTTCACTTTCCGCTTTTATTTTTAAAATAGTTTTTTTTTTCATTTCAGTTATAATTCACTTGGAAACCTCCTCAACATCTGACTGCAACATCTGCAGCACATAAATATCAGGAATCACCTCTCTGCTTATCTCATTTTGTTAAATAAAATACTTCAATAAATTTAATCTTTTGTGTATGTATTATTACCCTAATTTACAAAGCATTTAAACAGAGATTTATTAGAGCCATCTTTGCAGGAAATGAGGAGGGAGTGAACAAAACGCAATAAAAAAAAAAAAAAAAAAAAAAACAGAAATAGGAATATTCTCAATAAGGCAGGGGGAAGGCATGCATTCGTAATGCAAGGTTTGGTAGAAACAACGGGAAAAATAACACAAGAAGGATGCTTTTATGATACTTAATTTGACAGGAAATGAATGAATATTTAATCAAAGCAACACAGAGGGACCATGCATGTATTTAAAGCACATTCCATTGTCTCTGATTGGCACACGTTAGATAGCACTCAGCTGGAAATGAGTGACGTTAACAGTGTTACATGGCTGTTACTAACAGCAACCAAATGATGAAGCTTGAAGTATGGGTTATATGTCTTTGGCACTCGCACATGGTTTGGAAAAAGCTACATTTTTAGTTGGTGTGTTTAAATCAGTGCAGCTGTGCTCTTCATAAAAAGGCTGTTGGTCAGCCAGTACTTCTCTTCATGTTTAGGGATGTCTGGATCTGATCTCCAAGTATCGTCTCCTGATCATTTTGATTGATCAATATGTGGGTAGCTGCTCTCCTTCCATCTGATCACCATATTTTCTATGGTTTAAGGTCAGCTGCACAGGCTGACTAATGTTACAATACCCTCAAATTTAAAATAAAACATAATCTATTTTCACATTTTTGGGAGAAAAAACATGAACTTAAAGAACTAAAAACTTTCTGTGGAGGAATGCTTAGTTTTTAGTCTGCCATTTCTATGTAACAGAATAAAGTCTCTTACTATTCAAAAATAGGTTTTTCACACTGCAGTGCCTGTTTGAGTTGTTCTGCTAAGAGTTTATTTTTTCTGCTTTGATGTCTAAGATTTTCCTGAAAAACATATTTAGAATTTAAAAACTTTTGGAAGATTGTATCACACAAAAACATACTTTTATCAGATATGTATTAGATGACTCCAAAGATATAGCTGACATGACAGACACTTCTTAAAGCTCAGCACCAGGATATGGAGGCTACTAAAATGAGGACAATTGATCATTTCTGTTGAGCTAATGAGACATAAATAATTTACACGGCATGGATTTTCATAGCTTTACTTAACCCGAGGATGATGAGTTTATAACGTGCAAGTCTGTGCTGTAAGAAATGAAGGTATTAGATTGAAACCCACAATTGGTGAATATTGAATCTGAAATTACTTGGATCTGGATGAGTCACAAGCAAATCTTAATCGGGACATCCCCAAACATTTTCAAAATAAAATACAGGATGTTTTTACAGTGTGATATGCAACGAACGTTCGTGACGGAAGTCCTGTAACAGATCAACATAAACTCCATAAGCAGCACAGATAATCAATAAACTCCAATCAGTGTTTTTTTTTTTTTTTTAGGTCAACTTGGCAATGCTTCCTGGTGTGTTGCAAGAAAAGGAATAAAAAACTCACAATAAAAAAGAGACCAATCCTGCAAATCATGCTGAAAGCAACTATAGAGTAACAAAACCCAGATAACATTAACATTTAAACACTATTTTCACATTAGATCCTATATGTACATATAAACAGCAGTCCTTCAAGTGTCTATTTATAAAAAAAATTAAACAATAAGACATTTAAAGGATAATACAGCATGAACATGTCTACACATTGTAATAACCCAGTATATGTATTTATGTGCATGTAAACATATATACATATGCATACATGTACATCTATAAATATATATATATATTTAATTTACAAACATACATTTTTGTTGAGCAGGATACTGTACATTTATGGGGACAGCAGTCTCTTGGTTTTCATTACAATCCATCCATCTCCTTCTTCCAGACACATCCCAAAACACACAAATTTGATGCATGGAGATATATTCTTGCACTCGCACACACACACACGCTCATTCAGCTTCACCAGTCGGCATCCTCCTCTATGTAATAATCAGGGGTGGCTGTACCATCAAACAAGCCGGGGTCCATGGACTTGCGCTGCTTGCCTCGAGTGAACACCCGTGACAGAGATCCCAGAGTCATCTTGTCCTTCTTCTTCTTACGTTTCTGGTCTTCTAGATCTTCCATTGACTGAGTGGGCAGAGGAGATTAAAAAACAGAGTTGAGACAGGTTAAACTCACAGAGATGCGCCTTTTTTTAACTACTCACTGGGGTTTGATACAAATATTTACCCTTTTGTGTCTGTAAATAGAGAAGACTGTTAATAGACCCGTTCTTGGTCCTATTATGCATGCATGTTGTTTAATGGTGTCTTCCTGCTTTCATTTCGATTCACATTTATGATAAAGTTTCTGTTAAAAAGATATTAGATGAGATAATGGGACTGATTCAGACTGATGTAATTTTTTTGCAATCATATAGTTGATGGTATCCTATCAACATCACTGCTGCTAGCCCTAAGAAGGTAAAACCTGCCTTTAAAAAAAAATAGAAAGCAACTGGGCTTTTAGATTATGTGGAAGAAATTAGGCTTACACCTCCTCTAAGAATGTTTTGTTCAATCACACTTAGTTTACAGTTGGATTTAAGAAAACTTAAACTAGACCATTTGAAAATCTTACATTAGTTTGATTGAATTTTTTAAAAGTTGCTGGATTGGGCAGAGGGCCCGGTGGCGCCAGTGTACAGCAGCCCTGCCTCTGTCAGTGAGCCCCAGGGCAGCTGTGGCTACAGTGTAGCTTGCCACCATCAGTGTGTGAGTGTGTGCATGAATGGGTAAATGACTGAATGTAGTGTAAAGCGCTTTGGTCAAGTCTCCTGACTTGAAAAAGCGCAATATAAGTACAGGCCATTTACCATTATTGTACAGCTACATAATCCATCTGTTCTTGCATTGATAGACGGGTATTCTCCTTTCGGGTTTTCAGGTAAACAGCAGAATTGAAGGTACCATCAACTGAAGTTTGTCCTTAGAAGGAAAACAGTCCGAAGCATCAACTCTGATGTGCATCTGGCTGTATGGTGTTTTTTGCATTTCACCAAACATAAACTATAGAAATCTTATTTCAATTACAAAATAATATGTTTTTGTAAATAAAAAAAATTAACATTTGTTTGCTTTCTTTAAACAGCGATTGTTTTTGCCCTGGAACTCCAGTATGGATGGCTTTTCCCACCAGTCTTTGTGTATTGATTCATTAAGGCTAAAATCAGCTGAGGCAGCAGAGGCCTGCAGAGCTTTAGATGCTGTTCTGGGTTCTTTTTTGCGTGAGCCTTTGGGTGACTCCTGGAGAAATGTTGCTTGGCCTGTACTTCTGGGACAGTTTCTTGATTCTGCATGTCTGTGTGCCACTAGTAAACCTAAAGTCTGAATTTTTGAGTAATGTGATTATTCTCACTTAATCCACGATTCAACAAGGTATGATCCAGGTTGGATTTGATCCCACTTTTTTTTATTTATTTAAAATCGTTTAATAAACTACTATTTAGCAACTGTACAAAAAGCACAAACATTTGAAGATTGACAAACTTTTTAAAAGGCCTATGCGGCCTTTACTTGCGAGCTATAAAACCTTAATTTCTTTTTCATTGTTAATTTAATCAAATGTAGAATAAAACACTTTAAATTCAAAAATTTTATCTAAAAACAACTGAATCACCACTGAGTGAGCAGGCAGGGCGAACCCATTAAGCTGACAGGACAGAGCAGGACACACAAACCAAAGAAAGGTAAGGACTGAGCGGACATGTGGAGCAGGGCGGTTACTTGGGCTGGACATCTCTTACATTACAGAGGGAGTGGGTCCGGTGGCGAGGTGAGTTGATGTCACTGGGAGTGGACGAGCGGTCCCCATCAGCTGCTGAGGCATCTGAGATCACAGAGGGCTGGCGAGTGTGACAGGGGCTGATCCTTACCACAGCTAGACACACACACACATTCACACACACACATTGAAAATTCCCCATAGTTAGAGAAACCTCCAGAAACCCCTGTGTTAGTTCGCTGATTAAAGGAACACCAAGCAACATAGGGAAAGTGCAGGTTTAATAGAGGTGCAGAGAGCTTACCCTGCCGGTCTGCATTGTGACCGTGGTAGAGGGTCTGCTGGCTCTGACGGATGGCGGCGGTGAGCGGCAAGTCGGCCTGCATCACCCACTCCTGACTGCCGTTTACAACTGGCTCCGGCTGCACCACCAAAGAGTGCCGTTTGGGTACGTCTTTTGTCAGAGTGGCTAGAGACTGCTTTGCCTGGAAGAGCAGCACATAGAAAAGTGTTGAAATAGAGTTTGAGTCAAAGAAAACCAGTCTGGTTTACATTCAGACTGAGGATTGTAAGTCACCAAACCACCCGCATGTACTTAGTTATAGTTTCATTACCCTACTGTACAAACTCCTAGGAAAACTCCAAGAACATTAAAGCTGTAAACAACATTCTTTTATTACCGGGTGGATCATCTAAATAAGCGGTTCTCTGAATTGTCAATCATTCTGCTGATTTGTTTACATAATGCCGTCCTACGTGCTCGTCCCATTAGCTCTTTTTCTGCGCTTGCACACTTTCAGGGGTATATGTGTGGTGAGCTACGGTTTCAGACAGTGCTCTTACCATGGTTCTCTGCAAATGGCCAAGGGTCGTAAGAGGAAAAAGTGTCTACAAAGTGTATGAGAACCAAAGAGAGGCTACTGTATGCTTTGCACGGAAAGCTCTCCTCGCAAAGCATTATGGAATTTGCTGTCACAGCGGCCCGCTGTCACCAAAGGCTGTCGCTACCCGACAGCGACGACCAATGACAAAGATGGCGTAGGCACTGCGCAGTGGAGGAGGGGTTACGTGACCAACCGTAAGTTTACCAAGTTTGCTATAAAGTCCACTATATAGTCCCCACTCTATATAATGATTGAGGGATTTAGGGGTTAGGGTGGACAGACACAGTAAGCTTGTATGAGCAATGAGAACATCAACTTTTAAACAGAGTGTGCACGAGGAGAAATGGGCTCGTGCAAGCTCTTGCACGCGTGGAGAGGGCAGGTCTTTTAAAAAATGTGTAAAAATCCTCCACAATACCTTTAAGGATTCAAAATTCAATTTTGGGTTAAAAGAATATAAATTATATTAAACTGATTAAAGTTAAGACTTTTTTATATTTAAACTAAAATGCAATTTAGGCAAAGCTTTCATGGTACATAATAAAATAAAATAATAAAAACAATTTAATTGCTCTATAAAACCAACTAGTAACTGCCGTGGCCACTAAATGAAAGAAACTGTCAGAGGTTCAATCTGGTGCTATGGTAATTCTAATAAACTGCTAGTATAAATACATCATGATGCTTATTTTTCAAACATTTGTAGCGCCAGTGGACTCTGTCGACAGCAACTACCGGTAGATGGTAGGGAGAGAAAGATGGTTCCCTACTGGGTTTAATCTCCAGACATCTTCCTGTGGACTTTAGCATGATGCTGTCGCTGCCATGTTTCTTCATGGATAGGAAGGGCTGAGGGTCATGCAGCTTTATTTTCTGCTCTCCAAGATGTTCCAAGATCAGGATGTTGATTTATAACCTAAACCTGCATCAAAATTCATAAGATCTTCCTCCCTGACCTTTCAGGGATAATCTGGAATACCTTTTCTTGGTGCATCCCTTCCTATCTTAATGAAATATAATGAAATTTGTTGTAACATTGGGGTATTTACTCACTTGGAAGAAACCAAACATTAAATAAAAATGCATGAATAAAAAATTCCACTTTGTAATGTTTCTTCTTTTTACTAATTAAAATGTATATGACTTTAATATTGAGGAAGATGCTCTCTGTGAACTCTGTAAACCCCCTTGCTGTTGCTTTGATCTTAGACCGCTTATTTAAAGTTATTTATCGAATGAAGTTTAAACTAGCTCATCTCCTGTATTTAGCATCCCTTCAATAAATAAATGATTTATAGTTAATTGGAAAGTGGCATTTAATCTGTAGCAGATCACATTTTGAGCTGAAGATGAAATCAAAAGCAGCCTAAAGACGCATAAAGCGATGATACGTGACATCAAATGTTTTTACAGTACCTTATTCACACCTCTTTACAAAAAATCCCCTCTCCATGATATTATAATCTTTCCAAGTATTTTTTATCTTCAAAACCTCTCAGTGGAACCCAGTGAAAAGGGGGAGAATAAAATAAGACTCGACAGAATGATATTTAGCTACAGATATGGCAGCGATGTGCCAACAAATCAGATCTGCTCTGCAGCTTGATGTGAGGATCTGTGGGTGGCTGTGACTCGCGACAGGGAGGAGAGATTAATGGCACACAGAGTGACAGCTGTACCAAGAAGGGGCTGACACACTGCAGAATAAAAAACACACACATTTCTCCTTTTACCCGGAGGAGGGTACATAACCAGTCACTCTATGGTTTCAACACTTCACAGATACTGACAGAATATCTAATTGATGGTGTGTTCTCTCTGTGCCTGCCAATGTTCATGCAGTGTCCACGATCACGTTGACTCACCATGGTGAGTTCGGCCTCCAGCTCCTTAATCCTGTTCTCCTTCATGTCTATCTGAGAGCGCAGGATGTTGGCCTGCTCTGTGGATTCTTTGGTCTGCCTCCTCAGGTCCCACTTCTCCCTTTCCAGCACATCTTTCTCCTTTGCCAGGACTTTGACTGCATCTTCACTCTCCTGTGGAGGGCAAACACAGAACACTCACTGATTAACACCAAAACCACTTTCATTAATCAGAGGAGTTCCAAACACAGTTAAAAAGCACAGCTACACAACATGCCGTCCAGGAATTACAGCTTTGTTGTTGTGTTGTTTAATTAGCATCTTATCAATTAAGTCCAAAATAATTTTAGGATTCAGAATTTAAGTAATATTTTAATTTACTATCATGTTGAGACTGAGGGGAAGTAATATTAATATGTTGTAGTGACACAGGCAGAGTACAGATATTGATTTGATACCTTCCAACATAAAACGCATCACCAAATATAACTCCAGAAGAAAAGTGGGTCACTACTTTTCACTACTACTAAGAAAGGTCAATAAAGAGTCTTCAGGTTTTCTTAAAAAAAAAAAATTTAATTGACAAATATTTTTTTGTTGTTTTAAAATGATACTTCATTTAGATCGTCTAATTATCTTTTAGAAATCCCTGCTTAACTCTCAATGGAAAAAAATATGTTGGTAGGAAAGTAGGTAAAACATAAAATTTGGGAAAAGTATGAAAATATATTCAGCTGGATTGTATTGCCATGTTAATAATGAGTCACGCAAAAATGGATTCATAATCCATTGATTTCTACCCTGTGTGTATCACTCTGTAAAATACCACTGTTGGCGTTTGGCAACAGTAATCATACCCTGTTTTTATAATGTTGGTTTAAAATTATGTAGCAATGAATACAGATATCACAACAAAAATAAACATTAGAGAAACATTACAAACAGTTAATATTATATCAATGATTACAAAACAGGGTTTAAAATGAACATAAAGCCTTGAACTTCTTACATCGTTACGGTACAAATGCATACTTTCATTTATTTTATTGAGATTCCATGTAAGAACTTAACAGAAGGTTTTATATATTTATAACACCTGAACATGTTTCAATATAAACTCTTCCACTGTAGCTTTGTTTTTATGTTGAAAAGCAAAACTCAACCCAATTCTTAAGTCTTCAGAAGTTTTCTTTGAGAATTGTTATATTTATCCATTATTATCCATTTATCTTACCATCAAATCTGGCAAGCTTCCCTGTCTCTGAAAAAGAAAAACATCTCCCCATCATGATGCAGCCACCACCATGTTTCATACTGGGTATGTGTTCAGGGTAACGTGTAGCATTAGTTTTCTTAATAACTGGATTTTATTGAAATATCAAAGTTAATGAATAAGAACACATGCCGTGTCGTTAAACACATTTACATTTCTGTTGGTCTATCAAATACAACCGTAGTATAATAAATAAGAGATTGTGCTTCCATGGAGACACATTGTGGAAAACTTTAAGGGATGTAAAAACCTTTTGAGGGGCTTTTAAAATTTGAAATATCTTAAACATGCTGCAGTGCTTTTATGTGGATGCCTCAGCTGGGCTGCTACCTTTCTGTGCTGGTCGTAGTTCCGGATGAATTCTCTCAGCTGCTCTTCTCTGCTCTCCAGTGTTGTATACAGCTGCTGCATCTGACTCGCCAGCTCCGATTTCTCAGCTTTTAGCCGCTTTCGGTCCGCTTTCATGGCTATGGCACAAAACCCAATACTTTTACACTTTGAACAGCAACTTCACAGTCCATGCAACACTTCATTTCGAAAAAGAATTTCAACTAAGGGAGAAAGCCACTGGGTGGCACTGTGTCTACTGGTAATAAAAATGTTGGCTGCAATTTGTTTTATTTTAAATGTGAAAAATAACCATCTGGATAGCAGGTAATCAACACAAAATACAAGAAGCACAGTTGGACACATAGATTTATCTGAAACACCATCTTCAGGTAGCATGTGGAGACTCATTCCTAAGAGGAGTGATAACATCTGATTGTCTTTTTGAGTGATGGTTTCACACAGAGACCAAGAGGCTTTGCAGCAATCGTGCAACAGGTGGGACTCTTCAAGCAAAAAAGCAAAGAGCTCTTTTCACAATAATTCAAGTCTGAAACCAGTATTTTTCATAACAGAACACGCATGCCTCTCCAGGAGCATTCCTCCTGCTGATGATCACTGTTTCCATGTTCTACAAGCTGAACCCTTAAACCTGTTCTGCAGCAGTTAAGTGACGGTTACCAGGCATGCAGATCAGCACCTGCAACTCGCTGAGATCTGTAGAGAAAACCAGCAAACCACATACAATCGCTGCCTCTGTAAGCCACTTTGAGTTGAATTAATTTAATCTTATTGTAATTTTTCTTTCCTAGAAAGCAAAATCTTTCATTTCACAGGGAGGAGGAAAAAACACTCTCTCTCAACACTGCTCTCTGATTTAATAATGTCAATAAAATTAGAATTCAGCTAAAGTGAGCTTGGCTCTCCATCAAGGACACCACCCACCTCTAAGAACAGCTACACTTTAAACATGAGTGCATAAAGACAGTTAAGATCCAATTAAGTACATAATTGCTGACTTTTGTTGAGAACTGACATTGTATAAATAAACCAAAACAAACTGAATAGAGTTAGTGTCACATGTGTGACTTTTACAAATAATCTACATTTATTCTTATGGGCATGCTTTTTGTTGCTTAGTGAAGTGAAAACATGTTGCTGTTCTGGTCTGATCTGAATAAAATGATTTGGAGTAAAAAAAGCACAAAGATGGCATTTTGTCTCAAATTCCGATACCTAAGGATTATGACAAAACATTAGAAACCAAAATTCCCATTTAGTTCGAATCCCAGCTGTGTTTGCCAACAAATCAACAAAACTAGGTGACACAAGATGCCCATGTAGGCTCCTGACCTTGTAAGGCCTCCTTAGCACGATCCAGCTCCTGCTCCTTGTCCCTCAGCTGGACGCTGAGCTCAGTGGCAGAGAGCAGATTGGCAGAGCAGCCGCCCTGGGTCTGCTCTACGTCTTTGCTCAACATGTCCTTCATTTGCTTCAACAGGTGGACCTCCTCCTGAAGCTGTACCACCTCCTCTCGCAGTAACGCTGAGGGACGGAAGAGAGTAGGAATTTATAACATTCAGAGACATGCATGTAACACAAAAGACTCAGCAGTTTCTAATAGTGGAAGAAAAGGCGAAAAAATCTGCTACTATTCAAGAAGGGCTGTTCAAATTTAATTATGCAGAAATTTTCAAAAACAAATCACAACTAATGCTCACAGTTCCACAATTAAAATACAAATAGAGGTCTTTTAAAAGCATAAATAACAGATTCAGGGCTGAATCTATTGACGATGGTAAATAAATAACAAATAAAAGCATATGAAGGCTTCATTCTGCCTCTGCTTCTGTCTCTCGTCTTTGTTGTGCCTCCCAGCCATCAAGGGAAAGTGCATGCAAGCAATCAGGAGCAGGAAACTAAGGAGACGACACTGTGAGATGAAGAGTGATCTCATCGGGCTGTGCTGGCTGACAAGCTCATACAGCCAAAGCACAGAAACAAAGGGAAAAAAAAGCGTCCAATAAAGGAAACCCATACCGGCAACAGTGTCATAATGATTTATATTGGGAGCGTGAGGTGGAAGGTCTGTTCCAGGAGAACGTATGCTTTTTATAAAAAGGAAGAAAAATGAAAAAAGGCACTCAACCAAAACATTCAACTGGTAGAGGAAAAAAGCTGAAATGACAAATTCAGGAATTCTGGAAATGTGACTGAGTGCATGTGCAATCTGGAAAACATCATCTGAGAGATTTATGTAAATGTAAATGGAGAGTATGATTCCTAAAAAAATGCACAAGAAAGTTAAATAAAATACAGCAAGGCTGATTTTTTTCCATAGTAGATCAAATGAGAGGAAGTTTTACAGAAACAATTTATATAGAGAGCTTCAGAGGACTATAACATTACCGCAGCAAGTGTATGTGCATGATAGAAAATGAGAGAAGGTCTCTGCAGGCCAGCAGCCAGACACTGTGGGACTGCAGCAGCTCCGATAAGAGAGGAAGGGACAGTCCATCGCTCTCTGTCATGGAAGCTCTGTGGAAAACCCACCAGGCAGCCAGTGCTGCATGCCACTGAAAGAGACAAGTCTGAGACAGAACAATCTTTCATGTCCCTCTTCTGGGTTGGATTCACTCTTGCATATTTTCGCCATGGACAGTGATGGCACCTCCTTTGATCATGCAGAGCATTTTGGAGGTTTCTTTTTGGCTTTCTTTGATACTTTGAAATCTGTACACTTCTGTAATATGACTGTTGATCTGCTCCTGCCATTACAGATCAAATAAGAGAGCAAAATGAAAAAAAAGATGAGGATTTTTTCCCAATTTCATAATGTTGTAATTAATGCGTCTCCAACCTTTTCACTAAACATCAGATAGTTTTGTCAGTCAAACGCACATTTTAAGCTGTTTCGCCATTGTTGTCTATGACTTTCATATAAATCCAAATTTTAAATGAACGTATGGAGAGAAGAAGGTATGCAGAGATTGAGAGACGGATCCATGCTGCTGCCAATGTGATGCGGACGGATTGCAGGTCGGCTTGGGGAACAGAGAGCTGAGCCAAAAGGTTAAGTTCTCTCTTTACTGTTGGGTCTACCTTCTCACTCTCTCCAAGGCTAAACTGAGCTTCCGCATTTGAAATACACTGAAGAGGTTGCTTATCTGAGAGGCTCGGAGTAAACCGCTGCTCCTCTGCTTTGAGAGGAGGCAGAAGAGGTGGTTGGGTATCTTTTTCAAATGGACGCCTCCCTCAGGAGATTGGACCAAGCACATCCCACCAGAAGGAGTCCCAGGGGACGTACCAGGAAACACGAAAGGATTGTGGAGGCTTCCTTGAACGGAGCTGGAGGAAGTGTTTGGGGAGCAGGAAGTGTAAGACTGCTTTCCCTGCGACTAGGTACGAGTGAATTCAGCATTTACAGCGATTTTTGAGGCTAAAATATAGCATGAAACAAATCTAAAAAAAATGATTTGTTGTTTATACAAATAAAAAGAAAAATGATAGATGCAAAAACAACATAATACTGTTGCAACACATCAGATATAAAGAGGGTGAATGTAAATGCATCTTCCACTGTTCAGCCCGTTAAATAGGAAATATTTAGAAATATCCCATGTCTACTTTCATTTCACTTCATTTTCATCATTAATTTGGTCTATTTAACCGATTCTTTTTGTCAACAGATTCTCCTTCCTGAGCAGTCTTAATTGATCAAAAACTGATCATGCTAACATTACCATACAGGGTTCTGGATGAACTGATCTTGGAGTGGTGGAGAGAGATAGGTAGGCTATTAGAGTCCTCCCACACGAAAAGAAAAAGCCACTCATCTTTCATCACAGCAGTGGTGGATTGAATGAACACCAGATTTAAGCCTCTCATTAGAGCCGGTCAGGAACAGCTAACCTTATTCCCCTTCCATTGCAGCCCTGTCAAAATGCACACAGACGTACACTGAAGCGCAGCTGAGAGCTTATGGCTATAGAGGCCGTAAGCTTGTGATTAGACCATAGAGAAAGCAGGGAAAGGTGAAGTGAGAGTTGGAAAAGTGTTGATTGGTGGTCAAAGAGCTGAACTAGTCTGCTGTGAATGCTATGAAGGATTAAAGTGGTTCTATTTATATACATGAAGGATCAAAGATGCCTCGTGTGCACTGGGCTGGAATATTGGGTACGGATGAGACAGCAACTTTAAAGTTATTCCTCTTTTGCAAAAAAAGTAACTTGTCATTTAAAAAAAATAGTTTTAGGACTAACTGGAATGGAAAAATGGAACCTAATCTTTAATGGCTTGACCAAAATGCATTGCAGCAAAACGTTTTTACATTCATTATTTTGGGGTGAGTTTTGCTGACAAAGATTCCTTGATTAGGTAATAAAGAGCTTTCCTAACAAGAAACGCTACTTTGGTAAAACGTAGTAAGGCCCTCGAAAGAAAAAAAAATTGTAGTTTATCCATTTCGGTTATTTGCAACTTTAAGGCAACTATTGGTAAATTCTGCTTTGATTACTTTCTGTAAGGTCATTTAAAAAAGAGCTTATGCAATAACTATTGGAAATATTTCCTGGACAATTTTTATCAAATAGATATCTGTCTCACCATAAAAAAAATCGTTAGAAATTTTTTTTAATTGCCAGAGTAAAAACTTTGAAACAACAATAAAAAGCAACAGAAAATCAGAAGCGTTTTCTCTCTTATTTCCGATTTGAATTGATTCTTTTTTTTTCTAATAAGGATTTTTTAACACATGAGTGAAAGAAATGTGCTGTATGTTATTTGACAAATGTAATAATTCCGACTCCATCAAAAAGAAGAAAACCTTTGCAAACAAATGTCTTCAAACCTAATTTGGTTTTAATTACACTGAATAATTAGCATCAATGTATAAATTGACCATTTATGGCTCAGGTGTCTAGAAATAAAGAAAATAACTTATATTCAAAGCATTTGACCAAAAGGAGTGTGAAACAAGCCAGATTTTTGAGCCAATTACTTATCAACCAATTACTGCTCAAGTAAACTTTGGATATAACTATAACAATTTTAGGGAATAACATGCTATTCTTAAGGTAAAATGCATTATTTCAGTATGCAGAATATCATTACAGCAAAGCACTTTTGCCATTAAAAAAGATTTGCAATATCTGTTTGCTGATACAGTCCATCAGGTGTAATAAGGTCATTTTACAGATGAAATATAAAGTTATGTTGCTCAATAGTCTCATGATGGTAGCAGCCGATGCAAATGAAACTGTCCAAGATGCTAAAAGCCAAAGAAACACGAAAAGAAGAGGGAGGAAAACTTTACTGAATTTGAACTTTTTTTTATTATTTACATTGTGCTTCCAAGGTGGACAGCTCCCTTCCTGGAGGTATTATAAACAAGCTGAAATACCAAATCTGGTTTTGGTATAATGCTTTAATGTAATATTTAGTTGGGAAACCTTTTAAAAAATAAAAAGTTTTGGACAAACAAGTTTATTTCCATGGATCAGCTGAGATACATCATAAAGCCAATAGTTTCAGCTGATGTTAGCTTTATAAAAGACTAGATTAGAAGTCTAATGGATATCCTATACATCTGTTCTAAAAGTTTAAGTCAGTCACAATTTTATCTTATAAAATATAAAAGAATAATTGCATAATTGTCAAAGACTTAAAAAGTAAACCACAGCAGAGTGCAAACAGGTGATGAAAGCCGGTGCAGCGGCAGCAGCTGGCTGTTCTGCCCTGAGGAGATGTGATGTACACTGCTGTCAGTTTTCTGCCTCGGACTCACTGACAATAACAAATCTGTGTAATTATGGTGAGTCCACCTAGTGATTTTTTCATGTGCAATCTAGAGGTGCTGGTTCTGCCTGTTTCTATTCTCCAAACTTGTAGGTACAGGTACTGACAGTTGTATCATGGTACAGCATGCAGCGCCCCTACTCAGATCTATGGATGGTCTTCTGCTACATTTGTGAAATGTTGGGCTTTCTCTATTTGACTTCCCCACATTTTGAGACTCTCATGATAGAGAAAAAGGACAAATCACACTTTTTGCTTTAAACCCTACTTTAAACTTTCCCATATCCTGAAAGCTTTTAGTAATTGTTATATATATTCTACCAGTAAACAAAACAGAAAAAAACATAACTTTACCCCTTCTTTAAAAGCAAAATAACTTTTTAAATAAATGGGAAAACACTATCTTTCATTGGTGTTACAAGGAGTGGTGATATTGCAAGCATGTTGTAATGCAGGTATTAACAACAGATTTATCTAAACTGACTCAGTTAACAGCCACTGCATATTTAGCTGCAAAGCACGGCACTGATTTTTAGGAAAGACAAAAAGGAGTAAGCTAACACAACATGGATCATTAATGCAATAACAGCCATATAGAAAAGAAAAACCAAACAAAACAACCGGGTAAAGATGTTGATAGATTGAAAGTTTTCTACATTCCCTAAATAACGATCCACAACTAGGATAACCTTGTCTTTCAGCGATCAGATAACACTCTTCCTGTCAGTACTTTGCTTTGCTTCAGCCTA